AAGTGGCAGTCTTCTGCTTGTGTCCGTTCGTTTATATATGTGTTCTTCTCCACCGACCATTGTTGTCCCTTGTTCTCATTGTGTTCGACTGGGTTCGCCGTTAAACTGGTGCGTGGGGGCGAGGTTGGTAGGGGAGGTGGTTGTCCATCCGTCCTGATTGCGGTTTCGGTCCGTTCTCAGGTCACGGCGTGACCGTATTTTTGTTGCGTCACTTGATCCTTGAGTTGCATTGGCGTGTACACGTGATCCAGTTCAATGTGCCTGTTGATTGAGGATTGCCAAGCTTCAAGAAATCCTCTGGCGTGTTTTTACCGGGCTTGGTCGATAATTTTCACTGAAGCGAAGTCAAACTGATGTCCTTCTTGTTCTTCGTGGAGTGAAATCAAAGATAATGGGTCATGCCTCCTGACTGCCGCTTGGTGTTCACGGATCCTTGTTGACAGTTTTCTCCCAGTTTGTCCGATATAGTGTTTTGAGCAGTTCTTACAATTTATTTTATAGATAACACTGCTCTTGTCGTTCTCCATTGTTCTCTCCTTTGGTTTTGACAGAGGTCTCCTTAGACAGGCGGTAGGTTTGTGGGCGACTTGGAGTCCATATGATCTAAGTAGTCTTGCCGTCATTTCCGAAACGTCCTTGATGTACGGTAGGGTCATTCTTGTTCCCGATTCTCCGTCTGTTGTTTCTTCTTTTCTTTGGGTTAGAGTTCTTTTAATGAAGTTGCGGGTGTAGCCGTTGCGAGCGAATACTGTGAAATATATTTCTTCTTCATTCTTGAGTATGTCGGTACTGCAGTGTTTTTGGATTCTTCCGAACAATGTTCCAACACAGCATCTTTTGTGGCTATGTGGATGATTACTTCTGAAGTTCATAATTTGATCCGTATGCGTTGCTTTGCGGTAGACGATTGTCTCTAGTTTTCCTGATTGCATTCTGATGATTAAAATGTCCAAAAAGGCTAGTGGTTTATCCTTCTCCGTCTCCATTGTGAACTTGTGCAGGTTAACATCTAGAAGTGAGGCAATAAAAGGTATGAATGCGTCGAAACATGACATGCGATCGGATTGTGTACAGCAAAGAGCTATATACAAGTTGGTCAAAACTGTGTAAAACGGGAAAATCTTAGATGATGCGGCACGATTAGGCATTCGATACCTTTTGAGCAGTAATCAAAAATAACATGGGACTTGCCACACCAGGAAACGTTAACATATGTGGCAACACCCCCTCCAGTCTTTTTTCCTCCGGTTCCACCTTCGTATTGGTAAACTCGAAAACCTGAGCTTTCGAATTTGAAATGCAGTTGTCGATGTCGATTGATCAATGAAGATGGCTATGGTTACACCAAGGTATTTGACAGAGTTCACCCTAGATAAAGGATTGCTAATAATCACAGTATGATCCGCCGGATGTGGAGTGCGAGCGAAACTATATAAACACCCAACATATTTACTGGGGTTTAGGGTCAACCCCGATAAAGAGGAGAATGACTAATGTCCGAGAATAATCCAACTATTGCGATTGGGTTTTGGAAGAAATGATTACACTCATAATGTAAAACTGTTCCATTTTTGATTTAATTCCATTCATTTGAAAACTTCATTACAGATATCCGCTAGTTTAAACCAGTTTTCGATCCTCAGATATATTCACCATAGATTGCAAAAGATTCCAAAATGCTAGGCTTAATTAGTTTCAAATTTGATAAATTTTAACACTAACCTTGTATGCATTGTGAGTTTGGCAGCAATCAGTGAAGTTCGCGTCACTGTATTTCGCCGTACGATGATGATGATGATGGATGGATGGAAGTAAAAAGATACATAAACGAGGTCTAATAATGATGATGCAATTTTTGGTTTATTTTTAACGAATTATCGTATGCTGCACGCCTGAGTAAACGCAATTTGTGAATCAGCTAGGCAGGTATGAGTACGACTGTAACCATGCACTTTTGTAACCAAATTGTGAATGAAACCGGGAATGATCGGTACACTCACTCTGGCATCAGGCATGCGATCAGCTTAGTGCGTTTTTCAACCGACAGCACTTTATCTATGCATTCTTATTACTTTTTGTGCGCAATGACTTTGTGTGTGTTGCGTTCAAATTTGTCGATTTTTCCCCCGAAGTATTTCTCGTTCCACTGATTTGGTCTGTGTGAACGAGTTCTGACAAGTGCCATACGTAGTTTGTCTCTATGTGCACCGACAGGGTGATACGTGCGACATGTACCCGTGGCACGTACACATTGGTTTGACTTGATTTGGTTCCTAGACTGTCGAAATTTGCCGCACACACACATGCCATTGTTTGACTCCAGCGGGAGTTATGTGATGCCGGCCGAAATAAGTACAATCGACGCAGTGAGTTTCGTACTGTCCGAAAACGGTTCCGCCTTAAACGGGGACCAGCATGTAGAAGTTCACATATTGTTTTGTTTTTATCTTCCTCGATTTGAAAGCGGCTTTCGACTCAGTAGACTGTCCTAAACTCTGGCGCTGCCTTTCTCTTAAAGGTGCCCGAGGCGTTAATTTCAATATTACATTCCCTTTATACTAACAACCGAAGCCGAGTTCGAGCTTATGACTCTTTTTCGCTCGATCTCATCACGGGGAGTGATGTTCGTCCGGGTTACCTTCTCCCTCCTTTTCTATTTAACTTGGTCATAGATTTAATTCTTGCAACAGTCCTATTCTCGTGCGAGGATAGCGGTATCGATTTACTCCCGGGTGGCAGACTGTCTGATCTAGAGTATGTAGACGACATTATGCTACTAAGTAAAGATCCAGGTAAATTGCAAGCTTTTCTGAACAGTTTGAGTGCTAGTGTGACCATGTTCGGTATGTGTTTTGCGCCTTCAAAGTGCAAAATGTTACTTTAAGATTGGGTTGGTCCAGCACCAACCTCACCCTGACTGGGGAAGTAGAGAAGGAGGAAGACATTTCGCCACCTGGGCAACTACATCTCACCCGGTGGACGCATTACGGATGAAGTGTTGGCGCACATACTAAAGGCTCATTTGGCATTTACCAATTTGAGACATCTGTGGCGCTGTCGCGAAATCCGTCTATCTGTGAAGGGTCGAGTGTTTGCTGCCGCAATTCGGCGAGTTCTGCTCTACGGTGCAGAGACTTGGCCATTACGGGAGCAGAATAAAAATAGATTGGCGTTGTTCGAACACCGCTGTCTCCGTCTTATTGTACTAGTCTGGTGGGGGAAATCTGACGAGCAATACGGAGGTCAGGTGTAGAGTTTTAGGTAAACGTGGTCGTTCACTGGAGCAAGTAGTCAACCTCCATAGATTACGCTGGTTGGAACATGTGCTACGCATTTCACCAGATAGATTGCCACGGCGAGCGATGTTTACCGAGGCAAGTGGCGGTTAGAAAAAGGTCAAGAGCGGTCAAACGAAGATCTGGCATGATAGTATGAAAATCCTTAT